ACAAATTAACCACTAAACATAAACATCTCACTCAGCGAATATTATTGTGCTCATTTCTGAGAAAAAATATCAACCATCGACTATTTACCATAAGGCATAATAATTATAGTTATAAGCATGAGGGAGTTGTTGAATCATAACCAATCATTTCAATCTTGTAATCCCAACTTGTTCAGTTTACTTTCAAATATTTTTTTTTCACTTAAAACATTTTTCAAACATTTTTCGATTTTGCTGTCATATAGTTATATATAGCAAACACGGTATAATTTTTATGTTGTGGTTATTGTTTTAGATATAAATTTAATTTAAAACAAATTTATGCTTTTATGTTTTAGATCAGTATTGTATGTAAATTGTATATGTTGAACAACTTTCAATAAAGAAAGCTGGAGAGAAAAGAAAAAGGGAATTAAAAAAAAAAATCAATAATTTTATAATTCAGTTACAATTCCTCATCCACCTTTTTTTTTAATTTCCTTCATTCAAAAACACATCAACCATTTTTACAAAATCTACTTTATGGCCATTGTTTAACCATTTTTAAATGTCAAGAGACATCCGACAACAGGTATTAAAGGTGAAAAGTAGCCCCCAGTAACAAAGACTAAGGTTCGTATAGGTATAGACTGCTTCCTCTGATCGGCACCTTTACTAACGTTGGTGGACGCGACAGTTTAGTACGGGAGATACCAGTGATAATTGCCATACACCAGGGACAATGTCTCGGGGCTTGCCAGGTAATGCAGCATCATCACAAGAAACACATCAGCAGATAAAACAAGGTATTATCACCTGATTGTGTTTTACTGTTTCTGCTTGTGTATTGTACACATCTTACTGGTGATGACTGAAAGATAGAATTGATAAAACAATAATTATCCATAACGGGATGAAGAAGAACAAAAAATAGCCACAACTGGCTGTGTTTGCCGTATACCGTCAATGCTGGAAGTAAATTAGTGATTGGGTGTATGTATTCCTGACAATAGGGGAGTATTGATCGGTCAGGCTATGGAATCGTGTGGTGGTGCTCTTCATCACCAGCTCATACCTGTATGTATATCTATGATCACGGAATTCCACTAACACGTAAGGATTGTACTGGTCCTGTTTATTAAGGGGATGTGTCAGGTGTAGTACCAAAGGTAGGTTTAGGGTACGAACAGGTACCCAGGACTGATATCACAGGTAAGATCAGGATACAGACAGGTAGGGCTGCGGGGACAGGGAGGCTGACATTGTTACACTAATGGAGCTAAAAGTATTGTACAGGTCTATTACAGTGGTTCACTAAACCGTCTGGAATTCTCACACATTGTCGATTCGGCTATAATGCATGGTACTGGGGACAACTGTTAGAGGTGTGGTATGGATAATCTTTAGTGTAGAAAGCTGATGTAGATCTAGTACATGGTGGATCTGTCTGCACATATAAGGAGCTGGCTATGGTCATTATCTACTGTCTGCTACAGGTCCAGTACTAACTTCCTGCTTCAGTCCGTCTACAGGTAGGAATGGATCCGGATTCTTCAGTGCTAACAGTCTCATCAGGGAGCATAATGCTATATGCTCAAGGAGATAACATTTTGCGGTCAGTTTTGTATGTTGAGGAGTGTGATTTATACCGGTCAGTTTTGTATGTTGTGGAGGGTGATATATACCGGTTAGTTTTGTATGTTTTGGAGTGTGATACATACCGGTTAGTTTTGTATGTTTTGGAGTGTGATATAAACCTGTCAGTTTTGTATGTTGTGGAGGGTGATCTTTATACCGGTCAATTTTGTATGTTGTGGATGGTGATTTATACTGGTCAGTTTTGTATGTTGTGGATGGTGATTTATACCGGTCAATTTTGTATGTTGAGGAGTGTAATATAAACCGGTCAGTTTTGTATGTTGTGGAGGGTGATTTATACTGGTCAGTTTTGTATGTTGTGGATGGTGATTTATACCGGTCAATTATGTATGTTGTGGAGGGGGATTTATACCGGTCAGTTTTATATCTTGTGGATGGTGATTTATCCCGGTCAATTTTGTATGTTGTGGAGGGTGATTTATACCGGTCAGTTTTATATCTTGTGGATGGTGATTTATACCGGTCAATTTTGTATGTTGTGGATGCATGATTTATACCGGTCAGTTTTGTATGTTGTGGAGGATGATTTATACCGGTCAATTTTGTATGTTGAGGAGGGTGATATAGATGTTCCATGTACCTTTGACTTTTCTGACTTTCTGTAGAGTAGGAGTAATGGCCATATGTCCATACATTCATATATATAGCAATGATTAGATCACATATCTTTATTATTAAGTAATTTAACGCCTAGACCATATATTTGTCTATGTAGTAATTATAAGACCATATGGCTTGTTTTTATAGCAAAGTTTTGACCATACAACTTGTATATGAAAGTAGAATTACTAGATGTATAGTCTATAAATAAGAAGCAGTTCTTAGCCCACCATCATCAGATTGTGGTCTGTTCAAATCACCCTTTGTCAATGGTCTGCCAACCCTTTCTCTGTTCCTCCTTAAACAATACTTATTAGCACTATTGCAGATAAAGTACTGGAGAAATCTTTCTCATATTTCACATGTAGGTTCTCAGTGCAAGTTGTGCATGTTGAATTTTAAGACTGATCAGAAACAAAGATGGTCAGCATGCAGGTGGCCATCTTGAATATTAAGAGTTAGATGTTGTTAGTGCTATTTTTCAGAAAATACTGGGGGATCTTGTTCAAATGTCATATTTGAACATTAAGAGTTAGATGTTGTTAGTGCTATTTTTCAGAAAATACTTGGGGATCTTGCTCAAATGTCATATGCGGTTCTGCAGTTGTCCTTGTACATTTTGAAATTGGTTTGAAAAGCAAGATGCCAAGCTGTCATCTTGGATTTTGTCAGATAAATCTCTTAATCACTCTATCTCAAAAAGCACTAGAAAAGATCTTTCTCAAATCTTGTATGTAGGTTTTGCTTTGTCTGCAGTTGTGCATGTTGAATTCAAGATTGATTTGAAAAACAAGATGACATCCTAGCAGCCATCTTGGATTTGACAGTTTCAATAAATAGGTTATATTAAGAAAATATCACTTTGAAAGAACAATGTCATACTCAGAAATAGTAAAATTTGATAAAAAAAAAAATACCACAAGATACATTTACTGTTTTCATGACTCAATCTCACAGATAAGATAGAAAAAATCAGTCTTACATAGAACCAATGGAGATGTTTGGATGGTGGGCACCAAGATCCCTCTGTGATCTCCTGTTAGATCCTGTCTTTTCTGTAAAGAAACATTTAGACCATATATATATATATACAAAATAGTAATTGTAAATCAAACCATCCTTTACAAAGCACTAAATTCTGCTTTGGCCTTAAAACAAGATCTCATAAAATTGACCATTTTAGCAAATCCATTAAAATTAGGAATCAGCAAAAAACAGGACATTTACAATACATCATGTAGTGTACCTCTAAGTAATAGTTATCTTGTCTGTTTTATCAACTATTACACAATTGTATTGATTAATGTATTGCTAATTGTAGTCATTGTATTAAATTGTATATCTATGTACTGTAAAGCGCTTTAGAGTGGCTTATGTTAGCTAGATAGGGCGCTATATCTATGTACTGTAAAGTGCTTTAGAGTGGCTTATGTTAGCTAGATAGGGCGCTATATCTATGTACTGAACAGTGCTTTTAAGTGACTTATGTTAGCTAGATAGGGCGCTATATCTATGTCCTGTAAAGCGCTTTAGAGTGGCTTATGTTAGCTTGATAGGGCGCTAAATCTATGTACTGTACAGTGCTTTAAAGTGGCTTATGTTAGCTAGATAGGGCGCGATATCTATGTACTGTACAGTGCTTTAAAGTGGCTTATGTTAGCTAGATAGGGCGCTTTATCTATGTACTGTAAAGCGCTTTAGAGGGGCTTATGTTAGCTAGATAGGGCGCTATATCTATGTACTGTAAAGTACTTTAAAGTGGCTTATGTTAGCTAGATAGGGCGCTTTATCTATGTACTGTAAAGCGCTTTAGAGGGGCTTATGTTAGCTAGATAGGGCGCTATATCTATGTACTGTAAAGTACTTTAAAGTGGCTTATGTTAGCTAGATAGGGCGCTTTATCTATGTACTGTAAAGCGCTTTAGAGGGGCTTATGTTAGCTAGATAGGGCGCTATATCTATGTACTGTAAAGTACTTTAAAGTGGCTTATGTTAGCTAGATAGGGCGCTATATCTATGTACTGTAAAGTACTTTAAAGTGGCTTATGTTAGCTAGATAGGGCGCTATATCTATGTCCTGTAAAGCGCTTTAGAGTGGCTTATGTTAGCTAGATAGGGCGCTATATCTATGTACTGTAAAGTACTTTAAAGTGGCTTATGTTAGCTAGATAGGGCGCTATATCTATGAACTGTAAAGCGCTTTAGAGTGGCTTATGTTAGCCAGATAGGGCGCTAAATCGAATGTTGTATATTCATTTGTGTATTAAACTCTTATAACAAATGTAACATATGTCAATATGATGGTTAGGCAAAAATGTCAACAGTAAGACATTTCATTGATATGCATGTTCTTATTAGCAAATATAACTACAAAACTCTTCAAAGTGTTAAAGAAAAACAAATATTTCTCAATTGATTTTTTGTGCTTTGTAGATGGATAGACATATAACAATATGTTTAATGGATGTTGTTGATAGACACTTACATGTATGACGTGGTGTTAAATGTTTATGACATGTTACGTGTTGTAGACAGAAATACTTATGACATGTTACGTGTGGTAGACAGAAATACTTATGACATGTTCTATGTTGAAGACAAAAATACTTATGACATGTTACGTGTTGTAGACAGAGATACTTATGATATGCTTCATGTTATAGACAAAAATACTTATGACATGTTATATGTTGTAGACAAAAATACTTATGACATGTTATATGTTGCAGACAGAGATACTTATGACATGTTCTATGTTGTAGATGGACAGGGGCTGTAGATAAGGGAAGCTGTAGATTTACAGTGTGTTAAGGTGGCAGGGAGGTGACTCTCCCAACACTCCGTCTGTTTGCGCTACAGTGACGAGCTCTGGGACTGAGATGACAAGGAGAAGTCTGATCAATAGAACTGTTGTAAGTGCTGCTGCCTCACTCAAATAAACTCCTATAAGCCTCTCCTTGCTTGGCAGTGCTACACGGCACCAACTCGGCTCTGACATTCAGACTGTGTGTGTGACACTGCTAGGAGAAGCAGCTCGCTGTCTGCCACTACGACAAACGCAGGATTACTTACGTAGCGGTCAGTCAGAGATTACAGAACCACCGACTACGCCTTGGGAGGGATCTATTTAACGCAGTTCAGCATCCTTCACTTGACCAGTATACCTACTGGACCTCACATTACATCACCCTGAGATTATAATGTGGGAAACTTTGTGATAGCCGTGACAATTATATTTTGCTGGACTCGGTAGATTAACAAATCCAGGATAAACATGTGTTATGTCTTAGGCACAGGTAATGTACAGTAACCGTAGGCTTGGTGACGGATACATAAAACTGTCTGTATATAGGGACTCTGTGGCAGTAGTGTTTTAGGCTATGCTGTTGAGTAGATATCCACGACTACGACTCAACATGTGTGAGGTATTGATACGGGGTGCAGTATTGATTCCCCTTCCATTGTTGTAAAGCTAGCGCCTTTCCAAGCTTCCTCATCACCACCTCTACACTCGCACCAACATGAAGATGCACAAGTTTGCTGCGGACATCAATCTTTTTGGTGTTTTCTATCTATTTTATTTATCTCTAGTTTCATCCTTTGATTTAAATAGTCCAACAGATTCATTTGCCAAATACCAGAAATGGAACCCATGCCAAAATGGATCAATTCATCTAGAGTTCAAAACTAAGGATATGAGTGTGTTGATTTTGTATATGGATGACGGAGGTCATTCCGATTATTTTGAATTAAAACTTCTCACGGGATCGCTACATCTTAGATTCACCCTCGGAAGTGCTCCTATGAGGATAAACGTTGGACAGCGTCTTAATGACAACCGATGGCATAAAATTTCTATCAAAAGAAATCGTAAAAATATCACATTAGTTGTCGACTCCCAATCTTACACACGTACTTATCACAGCACAGATCAAGATTTTGGATATTATGCCACAAATAGTCCTGTTTTTGTGGGAGGTATTTCTAATGAGTATGAGGACAAAACATCATCGTTAACATTACCTGCTATCTACCTGGAGCCGAGGTTCACGGGGTCAATCCGTAATATTCTGTACAGTAACTGTGGTGGTCCCCCCATGCGACCAGAGTTGTTGGATTATCGGGGAATCGTTTCGGAAAACGACCAGTGTGTAGTCAGTGACCCGTGTCAGCATGGCGGAATCTGTGTCACCCACGATGAGGGCGTGGCTTGCAACTGTTCCTATACTGATTTTGAGGGCGAGTTCTGCAGCCAAAGTAAGTCCTTTTCGTTCAATTAAGATTTTGATTTGACAAAAAGTTTTTCATTTCTTCAAAGGTATTTAATACATTAACATTTTACTGTCTGCATTAAGGCCTATAATTTTCTTTTTTAAATTTTAAGGAATTTCTTAATTCTTTTAATACATTTTTTGAGCAGCAGAAAGATCATGCATATATTAGCTACTAGGTCTAAGTCTTAGCCGAGCACTACATTGACAAAAAGGTATGGTCCACTTATGTTTCTGGAATATTCCGTAATTTGTTTACGCAGGTATTTTTTTTCTATAGAAAATTTGTTCAGTTTAGACAGTTTCTAATTTATGAAGAGAAAGATTTCTAGTTTAGACATGTTATACTGTGTATATGTATATGTAATAAAAGTATGACTTTTACAGAACGTTTTACTTTCCCCTGTAAATACAACTCTACATAACTCTTTTTTTTATTCTTACATATCTTCCACTTGTACATACATTTTCATATCTTCCTATTTTTACACGGACTTGAAAGAGCCATTAATTTATAAGAACCTGGTGTATTTTCTTTAGGTTGATAATTGATTCACATTTTCTTGTGTAAATTGTGACATTGGGAATTTGAGATGTCGGCACTTAATTTTGAAGGAAAGTTTGTATGGTGTATTAGCAAGGTAATATCTTTTTTTTTAATGAGACATTTCCCTGGTTTTGTAGAAATATGTTTGGAAATGTCCATTTTATAAGTGTGGTCTGAAAATAATATGCCACATGTTTAGAAAGAAACTATTAATAAAAATTTAAGTGAAGAAAATAAAATTTGAAGCTGATACCTTTACATTGCATGATAATTAAAAAATCAACTATTAAACTTATAATTATAAGATGTAGTTAAAAGCTCAATTAACAAGCAATATTTGTAATACCACCTTGCATAAATTGATGTCTTCTAACTGACTAAATGAAGGTAAGATTTAAAATACAATATTATGATATCCAATCCCATCTTTGGTTTCTACAAAATACATTTTCAGATGGAGGGGTGTTTAAATTGCTTTTTATCAGTAGTTTTGTATCAATTCATCAGTCAGTCTGTCCGTCCATCCGTCTGTAATGAAGTTAAGGGGGTATACTGGAATCACCTTGACAACATGTCTGTCTATCCCTGGATGAAAACTCCTCTTGAACTACTGAGCCAATTTCAACAAAATCTTTATATATCTGATTGATACATCATTGTGCACCTCCTATACTTTTCAGATTAAACTTTTTTTCTCAGAGTTATTGCCCTTTTTAGGAGTAATACAACAACGGGTATATGTTTCATGTTGAGCAGCTAACTTTTGATTTTCAGAATTCAAGATGGCCACCATGAACTCTAATTGCCTAAAATAATCAAAATTGTAGCTCAAGTTCTTCGTGAAAGTGATTCATAAGTAAACATGTATACTTTAATATGGGAAACAGTCAATTTTTAAGTTTCAGGATTCAAAATGGCCACCATGGCCTCTGATTGGCTGAAACAATTACAGATAAAATTCCAAGTGTTTTGGGCCGACTTTGTTGTACTTTGTGAGAATGATGCAAATGTTATATACACTACATCTAATGAGTTTCACTCATATTTTGGGATGCAAGATGGCTGCCATGGACTCTGATTGGCTGAAACAATCAAGCCCATAAGTTGAGTTTTTGTTTTGGCAGATTTTGAATATAACTTTGCAATGCTTTATTCGAGACTGCTGGGATAATTTAGAGGATATTTATGTATACTTTGCAATACATTTTCGGTGTGACTGTTTTCATGACAGAGTTTCTTGGGGGGGGGCATCTTGGAATTTTTAAGATAAGTCTGTTAGGCGTTTTTCTAGGGATTGCTGAAGAGGTCATGGTGAAACATGGTATACATGATCACCTTTGTCCGTGTAAGTGCCTGCTTCAAGTTGAGTGGAATCAGAAAAATAAATGGCCACCTGAGGCCATCTTGGATTTTTTTATGTCTATTGTATGTAAATTTGTTAGCGCTGTTTATTGGAAAGTACTGAAGGGACATGCTAAATGTTTTGATATGCATGATCCCTTTTGTTCCTTGTACATGCTATGAGATGGATCTGATATTCTAGCGCCAAGAAAGTTCCTCAAAGATCATGTAACAGCATCGCTTGTGTGATCCCATGGCATTGGCATATGTACGTGTGGTTGCTCAAGAAAGAGAACAGAGAAATGAAAAGAAAAGAACCAAATATAACAGCGACATGAAGTGTACATTCAAGATCAGGTGACCCTGCAGATAGCCATCTGTCATGAAGGGGTTAATCATATACAATCTTTTCTATCTAGAGGTGAAGTTTTGGATAAAACAATATGTAAAAAAGGTCATTCATGCATATGTGTGTATTTAAAGAAATGTTACTCAAAAAGGTTACTCTGGAAATAATCTGTCATTTAGAGGTTACATACATACTGTGCAAAAAAAAAAAAACATCTTTCAAAATTATTTTTCAAAGACCACTTTCAGCACAGGGTTTACTGTAAAATCATTCTTTTATTAGAAGCTTCCATGGAAATATATACAAAATAACTTGCAAACTAAAAACAAGTGCATGTACATTAACGTCGTGAGGAAAAAGATTTCTGTTTAGCCTATCAAAAATAAAGTTAATTAATGTGATGTTAACGCTGAAGTTTGGTGTTCAAATTTTACATCTACAGAAATGGATTTGGTCATGATGACTTTCTGAAGTAGTTGGTCCCTTTCTCATAGTCCAAGAGGGCCGTTTGTTTGACGGAGCTTTAACGCACACAGATGGTAACTGTATCAGTGTCTCTGATGGATGATGAAGCGACTCCCAAACAGACAGGACTCCCAAACATACACTTTATAGTTTTAGGGAGATTGATACGATTTTAGCTACTTGGAGTTTGAATTTTGAACGTCTTCCATCATGTTTGGTAGCTAAGCGCTGTTTGTGTTTATAACAAATGGAGTGCCCAGTGTTATTGCAGAAGTAATACATATCTGTATTGATTTTCTCTGTGTGACTAACAAGAATTCTCCATGTTCATTCCTGTAAAAAAAACTTCTCCGAATTTTATGATGCTTAACAAAAAGTGAAGAGAATGTATTGTTTGAGTTGATATTGAAGATGACTATCACTAAACTGAAGAGATTCCTTGTTCCATGGTTAGCATGGTTTTAGTTTATGTCACTGTACAATACTCAATACTGTGTGACTTTGACCTATTGATCTTTGACCTTGGTAAGACATGCCAGTAATGGGAAAAGCTTGTATCTACTTTTCTGAAAGCTTCTTTATATAATTAAAATTTCTACATGATAAAAATCTTGACATATATAAGCTATATTTCACAGGTCCTTATCTGACGTCGTAGATAGAGCAAGTTTATTGTGATCAAGAATACGTCTATGGGTATGCGTAGAACACGTGTAAATGCGTACGTCCGTGCAGTGGCGTTGAAGGAAGGTTGTGGAATTGCTGTCATTACATATCTTATTACTGACAAACATATATATACTGACAAACATACATATACTGACAAACATATCTATGCTGACAAACATATATATACTGACAGGGATATATATACTGACAAACATACATATACTGGCAAACATATATATGCTGACAAACATATATATACTGACAAACATATATACGCTGACAAATATATATATGCATTCTCATGATCATTGCAAGTATTATGTTCCTTTTGCTTCCTTAAAACTCAAACAAAACACCAATAAAAAAATATGGAGGAAGGATATTTGCTTGTTGCAATACATATGTATTTAAAGTTCACTATTTTACAATTTAAATTTGTCAATTTGATCAGTAAATAACAAGCAGGGAATTTGAGCCTGAGAGGAGTGCTGGTCGAGCTATGTAATGCAACATGACGTTCCCTACACATATGTGATATATATGAAATACCACTTAAATATGTGTATCACAGGTCTCGGATAACTCAAGTTTATTGTCGGAATGATGTTTGCAAGGGCATTAGTCCAAGTGAAATATCATACCTCCGCACAATAAATAAATTCTATCGGAGACATCCGATAAACAAATACGGGCAGTATTTCTTTTATTGTACCTTAATGTGCTATATACATTTTTATAACAATTCTGCACACGGTCACACATGTTTATGTGGAAGATATGCCTATTTTTGTTCTTTGAAATCCAGAGTGGAGTGTAAGGGATGGGTGTCCAGACAAAGCAATGGATTGTGACGTCATATAACTATAATTTCTGGTGTCAAAGATTAGATGTCATTTGATTTAACCCTGTAATATATGATAAATAAACAGAAGATTATAATTCCAGGACAGGGTATGTGTATGAAAATCTGCATCTGGTATTGTATGCCTTGTAAATCTATAAAATTCAAAGTTAAGAAATTAGAGCAACCTAAATATTAGTACATAAAATTACATAAAATTAAAACTAAATTATAAAATAAAAAAGGCAGAAAGTGAGATCTCACTTTATTTATGATAGCACTGAATGAACAAATACACTATACAATGTGAAAACTAGAAAACTATTAAGAAACTTGGTAGGCAGGTGGTATATAAACTTGGTAAGCAGGTGGTATATAAACTTGGTGGGTAGGGTATATAAACTTGGTGGGTAGAGTAAAGAAAACTTGGTGGGTAGGGTATAGAAACTTGTTAGGTAGGTGTATAGAAACTTGGTGGGTATGTGTATAGAAACTTGGTGGGTAGGGTATAGAAACTTGGTGGGTAGGGTATAGAAACTTTGTAGGTAGGTGTATAGAAACTTGGTGGGTAAGGTATAGAAACATGGTGGGTATAGGGTATAGAACTTTGTAGGTAGGTGTATAGAAACTTGGTGGGTAGGGTATAGAAACTTGGTGGGTAGGGTATAGGGACTTCGTAGATAAGTGTTGTAAAGAAACTTGTTGGGTGTGAGTTTGTAGGTCCTTAAACCTGCTCTCAAATCTGAAAAGAAGGAATATATGTGCTGTTTTACA